GAATGATTAGAAAATTAAACTGTTTGCCCTAATTTGCTCGATATAAATCACATCAACTGTGGTGGGATTCACTGTTGGAGTGATGCAACTCCAAAATACCACACAGGTGTGCCCCTGAATTCGGAGAAACCACTTGTTACATTAGTTGTGTTGAGCTATTTCAGTTGTTCTTGTTTGAACTGTTTATTGCAAACAGCTGAAAGTTAGTTAAATAATTTGACTGTACACAAATAGACAATTCAGGAACTGCAGCTGCACACATGCATTGCTTGTTTGTACATCGCAAGCTGCATGAACAACAGACTAAGTACGACATTTTTCTGTCCATCATCCATGATTAAATCTGATCAAAGGTGGTAAAAATGACTAATACCAGAGGAGGTGAGTAAAAATGTATTGGTCTCTGCAGATTCACAGTCGCTGTGAACCACACAAACTCTGTTGACTGTCCTAAGGCTGCATATCATATTATCTGACATTGAGTTTCTAGACGGCTTCTCCACCACAAACCACAGGCAGACAAACACTGTGAGAGCTGAGTGGAGACAGAGTCGCACGTTCGGATACTGCCACATTTTTTGAAAACAACAAGAGACACACTTTACAATCAGAAGTAGTGTAAAAAGTCTGTTAAAATGAACATATTCTTCCCCACTACCAAAAATGAAATCCTTTGGGACATTTTACCTGTTGTTTAGTGCTCATACTCAGCCCTGGGAAATTGATTGGACTGTAAAGATCCACAAGATGGCAGTCTGTCTATTTCTACTGTGAGTAAAATGTTATTTATTTCATTTAAAAAGCAAAGATGTTTCCTTCACTCTTTTCTCCAGCCTTCTGTTTTGTCTTCTAATATTCTCTGAGCATCAGAGTGAGAATACAGTACATATAATTAGCACATGCTGACATATCTCTGCTCACACGCCCTGCAGCTGACACACCCACAATGACCTTGTTGCTTCAAACACACAAAAGTGTATTTTTATGAAACAACTGACATCTTAAGCCCACAGCCCTGTACTCAGCACTACTGAACGTGGCCCACGCTCGTCTGAAATGTGCTGAGCGAATCCTCGTCATGCTGGATGACAAAATAAAAACCACATCAGTGTTGACAAATGGGGGGGAGCCAAACCCAGACTGCACTCAGTGGAAATATTAAAAGCAGTGTAAGTGTCAGATGAGGTGTAAACGCCGAGGGGTCGCGTCGCCTTGTTCAGTAGGATTATTTGTAGTACTTCTGGTTGGAATGGCAGAATGTAAGATGATACAGCAAAAATTCTATGAGATACTGATCGTATGCTGCAGGGAGTAAACCAAACTTTCACTGTTTGTCAGTTATCCATCTGTCCAGAGCTACAGCCATCTAAGCATCAAGTGAAATTAACCAACAACTTCATCACTGACAAGGTATCTCAGAAACTAAACTTAAAGGTGCATGTGTGACAACGGGACAGGATGTGACGTTTCTCAGCTCTACTCCCATCTTCCGTGACCCTCTGCTGCCTACAGCCCTTCTGTTGTTATTCCAGCTTCTCCACCCTGTTGGTCAATGCTGCTGTGCGCTCCAAAAGCACCAAATCACTAACACACCAGTGAACAAAACAACACATGAAAGCAGATCAGGAGCTGTGTCCATTCAGTGACGTTACAGGCGTCATCGACAGCATGTAAAGTCAGTCCGACCTCGTGCGCTGCTGTCACTCACTCAGTTAGACTACACTTTCCTCAGATTGTTTCACAAAGACATACTTTTGCTATTTCCACAAGAATATGGGCCTATGTTGGGTCTAGTTTGCTATTTTATGATGGTTTGAGCCTGATATGTTGAGATAAAAGTGGGCAATGCATACGACTTTAACAGCCTAACAGATCCCACGTACCGCAGGCAGCTTCTCGGTACAATACTGTAAACACGGTAAATACAATACTCCTGTACTTTTATTTTATTATTTTAAAAACAATTAGCTGTTTATAAACTTATACAGACAGATAATATTTAGGGACATTTCTGAGACCCCCCCCCCCCCCCACAATCATTTTCTGTTTTATAATGGAAGGGGTCCAAGCTGTCAGTCTTTTGCACACCGGTTAGCATCTAAACCTGTTCTGATAATATTAGCGACTTAACACAGTCACAATTTTACCTTTGTATGGAATTAATATGATATTAATTGGGAGTAATTGAAGCTTTGTGTGATGTCAGTGCTTTGTGTCACATCAGCAGTAACCAGAGCGTTCTACCAGACACATTTACCGTTAGCCAGCTAACGCTAGCTTCAGACTGTAGGCTGCATTTTGTACACTTTGTCACAACCAGGCATCCGTAGTTTATGTTGTCTCTAGGAAACAGGATGGGAGGGGCAAAGACCAGTTGGGAGCCAATTATGCTGTCAGTTTGTTTTAAGTCTCATTAGACCCACCGAGCTGGACAGGCTTTAGGTTGAGCAGCTTTAATGTATCATAATGTCAACTGAGTTAGAAGAAAGAATCAGAGACCAAAACTGCCTTTTATGCAAGGCTCCATGCCCCATACACCACACAACCCCAGTTAGCTGCTTTTATATCGACCACACACTCAACACACTGGCCGAAGCCCATTAGTTCCACCAAAACCCTCTGCTACGGTGCCCATGCCCAGCTGGCCTGGTCCCGCCCTCCATAACCAAACATGAACACACAGTAACTCTGGAACACAAACAGTCTCTGCAGGATCTCCGCTGGCACCCCTACCCCCCCAGGCATGCTACAGTATTTATTCACATACTGTACTGAAGCACTACAGAGTCACGCAGCCTAGTGTGGGCTGCAAAAACACATTAATATGCACCAGATCTGCTACACACCCAGCTGTTTTCTAGGAATCACACAGTCATTCTTGGTGAGTGATGCATTATGGGTGTGAGTGTACTGACTGAGATGCAGTGTTTTATCGAAGCAGACTGGAATTTGACACATCGTGGGAAACATATGTTAGAATGGAGACATGCTGTCATCTTACTGTGTCATATTCATCAGTGGTTCTACGGCTACAACTAATGATTATTTACAACAGCCTATCTATTAATCAGCCTTTTTTTCAGGTTTGTTGCTGTAAATGCCAGAAAACAGCGGGAAAATGCTTTTCACGGCTTCCTAAAGCCTATGGAAGCTTGTTTTGCTCAATCAGCAGTGTAAAAGCCCAGAATTCTTTTCTCTCACATAAGACAAAGAAAAACAGCAAATCTTAAAGCTGCATTAACCAACTTCCCCCTGTATTTTTTGACCATTAAAGATAAAGTACAAATCAAAACAAACTCAAGCAGCGCCCCCTCCTCTTCTCCCTCCTGCCCTGTCTCTGATACGACGTCACATGTGGTCACGACAAGCAGAGACAGTTGTGTTAGTCAGGAGCCTGTGGCTTTTGGTGGCATTGCAGTGACACAGTGTCAAATACAGAGGTTTACATTTGAGTCTAAAGTTGTTTGGAACAGATGTATTTGTAGTAACACAAGCAAAGGAATGTTTTTACCCAGTAATATTGATACAGTACAAATGTTCCAGCCACGACTGCATCACGTTCAGTTCAGTCAGTGAAACAAGATAAATTACTTGTTCTGCTTTGATAGTTGAGCAAACTCCCCACTTTTCTAGTTGTGTTGACTGTGCAAATTTTTACAAATTATCACTAAAATGCTACATGGACTGCAGTGTTATGTCCGACATACACTGGACCAGAATCAAGCAAAAATTAACTAAATTACTTCATTAGCTAATCCAGAAAAAAAAACCCTGGTTTCTGATAACTGGACAACAAAACGCAAAAGTTGGAATGACCTCAAACTACAACCAGAATAATTCAATACGAAGGGACAAAACTGAAAAGCTAACGTTAGCTTGCTAATGATGCCAACATATACACGTTAGCCAGCAGGGAGGAAGCACTTTTTTACTTATTATTTATGTTTTACTTTATCCAAATTTGTGCCAAATATTAATTAATGCAGCTTTAACAACTGAGAAGCTGAACTGAGAAGGGAAAAGGACTTAGATGATTCAGGCCCATTTTAACAATAACTGTCCATGAATGTGATATTGTTATGTCTTTTATTCCTGTCACTTTGCACATCATCATATCATTTTCCTGGAATTGTCATTGTATTACAAACCTAATTATTGACTCTTTAATGGTGTTTTCTTATCTTTTTTTTTTTGTAGAAACAACCAATGTCATAGAGATAGATATAATTCACAAGGCTGTACAGAACATCCTTAGCTCTTTACTGATTTTGTATCGTTTATTCTAGCTGTCTCAGCAGAGCGTAGACTCTAAACGCCGCCACGCTGCAGCCAGTTCACCTGCAGCCAATATGTTTGCCTATGTTGTCCTCTTGTGGTGATGCGCTGTGCTACATTTGTATGTCTCAGGTGTTTCTACAGTACATGGAGTGCAGAAAATTTAATTTCAACAACCACCTCAAATGATCCTGAACCAGGTTTAACCATAAAAATAACATATCACCAGTGTTTCTACTTCTGACTGATATTTTGTGCCAAAAATCTGTATACAGTATAAAACTATCAACTTTTTATTACATATACTTTATATTTTGTTTAGTTAACGGTTTTTTCCAAGGTCAGGAATGAACTTTACATCTTTATTTTTCAGCCAATTCAGGGATGAAAATGTTTTTAAATGCTTAAAAATAATAATATACATCTAAAATTCCCTGTAAACTGAGCAAGCTCTATGTGCTGAGGAAGCTCAGACAGAAAGTTCCAGAACAGCGGCTAAACAGACCTTGTGGTGAAACCATTTCAATCTGACTTACTCAGGATCTTATTTTAAAGCATCACTGGGCACTAAAATTCTCCCATCAAAGCCACAATGATACTAATTATGAAAATGAAATATTTGCGCCTACTGTTCTAGTTTGATTGCATAACACAAACCTATGACAAACAATCACTGTGTTGTAGTTTTACTTAACTCGAATGTGAACACATGACCAAAAATCTTATTAGAAGCAAACAACGACAACTGGTCTAGACTTAAACGTCTGACCCCGGTGCTTCACGTAGCGCATACTCACATGCAGCTCTGTGTTGTTGTTGTTGAGCTGGTCCTGACTGAGGGGTGAAGCTGCAGAATGACAATCCAGTGAGACTTTGTCCTGACAGCCAGCGTGACACGTGTACTTACAACCTGTGTAGAAATGAAAAGAAAAAGGAGGATAGAAATGACAGGAAGGGTTTGTGTGTGATTATAAAATGACTGTCACACATGGGACATGTGCACGTCCATTTAAAATGCATGACAACGTGGATGTGCACGTGTCTGTAACGTATATGCAAATAATCTCTTGTTATCAAGCCGAGCATGTCAGTTGAGGTCAGAGCTCCAATTCGCACAAAGAAACCAACGACATGCAAATTCTGACTCACGTTTTCCCTGGAGCGAAGCATCAAGTTTCAAAAGACGGCTGTGCAGGATTTGATCTACAAATGTTTGTACAATGAAAAGGCCAATACAGAGTCTTCAAGTGTGACCAAGTGTTTAGCCACTGAGGAAATAAACTCGACTACAGGCTGCTTCTGTAGGCTGGACATTTTGCAAAGGTGTCGATAACCGTCCAGTCTGTTTTTGGAGTTCTGTGTGGAATGCATCAGATTTGGCTTTTTTATGCTGCTCCAGTACAAATAAAAGAAATAAATTTGATTGATTTTATTCTTTCAAGCATGTAAAGACAGTCGATATGTCAACACACATTTCACACATATCCAACAAATGCTAATCCAATATCAATTTGCTTATACCTAGTGTTA